TAGCTGTGTCATTTTCCAGGCTCTTCATAATGGAAAACTGTATGGCTTGTCTCAAATCCTTTCAAGCATAATCTATGAGGCAGGATCATCTGAGATAATCTCTGCAAAATTGTTCTGAGTAGTTTGTAGCCCAAAGGTGATCTTGAAATGATATTTTTCAGTTTGGTGGTATTATACTATTCCTGGTGGAATTGTCATTGTGGCATTCCATCTGTATTTTGAAGACTTCAGAGATCACAATAGATCACATTGTTTGTTTTCTGGTAATTTTTTCTGGGGAGTTCTCAATTCTTTGGATGCTTATTTAAATTCATCAAGATATTTGCCTTTATCTTCCTGAAAACAAAAACAAAATCCTTTCCAAACTATAACTGTTGGGAGATTCCTAATCTAATTTTAATTGATTTTGATTTATACCTTTTCCTGAAATGTACAGCTTATATTCTGAAGCTCTTCTATCATCCACAGAAGTTCCACATTGTCTTCTCAAATCTACTGAAAATGTAAGTGAGCTCTGAGTCATAGCACATTTGTTCAGAGAACTAGCATGACAATAGAAGCCCAAAGAGAGGTGCTGTTGGGTGAACCTGAAAGCCATGGAAAGGAGGAAGGCAGGGAGGGAGAAAGTGAGAACAGGAGGAGTCTGAAACACCACATCCTTTATTGTGTGGAAAAACCACATGTGATGGGAGCAGCCTGAAGACAAATTCAATCAGTCTTGGGCATTTGGAGTGTGGGTGCTTCTGGAGTTTGGATGGCATCTGGAAACTGTTTCAGAAAGGCTACAACAGGAAATTCCCCAACTTGCTTAGAGGCTAAGAAAAACTGAAGTTAAATATAGCCAGTTAGGCAGTGACTATAGTGGGAGCCCTTGTGAGCTTTGAGGGGAGTTCTTGACTGGGCCAGGAATTGCAAAGTCACATGCAAATGGTTCTTTCATGGGTTCATATCTTTATATTAGGCATAAATGTGTAACATGAATAATAAAATCCCAGAGACAGATATTTGCATTAACACTGATTGAAAAAAAGAAGAGAAGTCAAGCCACCAAAGAGTTCTTACCTCTACCAAAACTAAAACAAAAGGTTATCTACCATTTCCTTAGAGTGACTGCAGACTGTAATGCTCTCCATAAAACCTCAAGACTGCTCTCTGGAACTGCACTGAGATTATGCCTTATATTCCCTCTAGTTCAATGATTAAAGACAAGAGCTCTGTGTCTGACTTCATGGAACTTCCTCAAAAAGTGACCACAAACTTCGACAAAAATCAACAGGTACAAAAAATTGAAATAAGGGAGTCCCAAAATAATGAGGTAGAAAGAACCTCAAGTGAACAACTCATTTCTGCAAACAAAGATTGCACTACTGAGACTATATCATCTTATTGAGTTTTTGACCAAAGGGGCCCCATAGTGTCTCATTTCATGTTCCCTTTCAGCAACAAAATACTATGAGCCAAGAACATTTTGGGGATAAAAGGATAATTTGGCTTACACTTCCACATCGTAGTGCATCAATGGAAAATGTTAGAACAGCAACTCAAGAAAAGGCTGGGACCTGGAGGCAGGAGATAGCATAGAGCCCAAGGAGGAGAGCTGCTTAATAGCTTTCTTCTCATGGAAAAATAAGAAGTTGATTTCTTAGGGAAATCAGCCCATGGAGGGCACCATTGCAATATACTGGACTTTACAACACCAATAACTATTAGAAAAATGTCTGATATTTGAATCTCATGGAGGCACTATCTTAGATGAGCTCCTTCTTCTCTTAAGGCTACACTTTGGGTCAAGTTCACACACACACACAGAGAGAGAGAGAGAGAGAGAGAGAGAGAGAGAGAGAGAGAGAGAGAGAGAGACAAAGAAAGAGATCCTTGAGCATACAGTTCTAAATGAGATGTCTCCATCAAAACTCTCCCCTCATACCTCTCAGGAAACCCCACAGAAAGATATGTAGAAGGAGTGGGATGGAATAGATTGACAGAGGAGGACATTGGGAAGACCTGAGCCTCTCAACTATGCAAAGCTCATGTACATAAACATGAACTGAAGGAGAAATCATGGTTTGTTCCAAACCCTCTACATTTATAGATAATTTTTAGTTCAGTAACTTCACTGGGACTCCTGGATGCAAAACAAACACTTGAATTTCTCATTCTGGTGCCTTCCCTTCAGGCCCTATTGTTTTTCTGCCATTGTGTCTTGTACAGATTTGATATAATAGTTTTTTGTTTTATGTTATTATGGAATATTTTGCTGTGTTTTACTGTTGTCCTTTAGAGTCCTTCTCTTTTTAATTAGAGAGCAAATGGGAGTGGGTCTTGATGGAAAAGGAGCTGTTTGTTTCTAAGTGAAATAAAGTGTAAGCAAACTGTACTCAGGTAATAAAATATGAGAAAAATATATGTCTAATAAAAGGGAAAAGAAGAATACCATATGATAAAAGTAAATTTACCTCATCTACATCATTTATTTTTATTGATTTGGTACAAGGTGAAATACAGGACTGTTAATTTTTGAACTACATGGCAAGAGGAGATGCCCATCATTACTGACAGTGTTGGACTGTTGGTATATGGTTAAGAACAGCCTAACAGTGTTTTTTCTGGAACAACTGAAATCAAAATATCTGATAATTATCACTGAAGATTATTTCTGTTCCTGGTTCAGTAAGAGCAGCTGTCATAATCTATGGAGCTCCAGTTTATGGTCAGCCATGGTTTTAGTTTGCCACAATTTGTGTGCAGTATGAACAAGATGTCTGTGTAGCAGCAGCCAAGCAGCCAAGATTCCTTAATACAATAAAATCACAAGAAATTCAGCTCTCTTGCAAGCAGTTTCTTGGTTTCTTTGAACAGTATCTGGACAAACACAAAACTGTGATATGAAAGTTGAAGGCTACAATGGGCCAACAGAGCATGATCAGATCATGTAGGCTACTAATACATCCATCTGACAAAACTACCATCCTTATTTCCCTAGCCTTAAGAATACAAGACACTAAATACTTAACTTTCTATGTTTCTTATAGTGATAATTGAGTAAAATTTGGAAGGCAAAAATACTTATATTTTGCATAGTTATAATCAATTCAGGAGAAGAATGTTTTCTTAACCATAGAGGGATTCCCAGATAAAAGCAAAGGCCCAAGATCTGTGCAAATTCTAATAGAGGGAGACAGTATAGGTTTAAAGGAAAACCTGGCACTGGGGAAAAATCAATGGATCCACAATGATGATCTAAACCAAGGATCTAAGCAATATTGGAGAGGCTACCTTACATGCCTTTCCCCTTTAATGAGAATAATGACTACCTTAAATGCCATCATAAAATATCCATCCAGTATCTGGTGGAAGCAGAAGTAGAGATTCATAGCCAAGCAATGAGTTCAATGCCTGAAATCCAGTTGTAGAGAGGGATGACTGATGAACAAAGGGGTCAAGACAATGCTGAGGAACTCCACAGAAACAGCTGACCTGAGCATGTAGAAGGTTTTGGGCTGCAGTATATCAGCTGAGGAACCAGCATAGGAATGAACCAAGCTCCCAAAACATCGGTCTCAGTTGGGATGCCTGGGCAGTTTATGGGGCATCTGGCAGTGGATCCAGTATATATCCCTAGTGCACAAATGTGTTTGGGAGCTGAATCCCTTTGTAGGGATACTCTCTCAGCCTAGATACAAAGGGTACTGCCCCAAATGATCTGTCAGACTTTGGAAATTCCCTCAAGGGAAGCCTAACCCTCCCTTGGGAGTGAATGGCACATGGGAAGTTGGGTTTGTGGGGAGCATGGGTGGATGGGAGGGAAAAGGAAGTGGTATTGGTATGTAAAATAAGATTGCTTGTCAATCCCAGCTCCCTCTCCCACCCCTCCTCTCACATTCCCACAACCAGGCCCCCTCCCCAGCTTCCCAATTTATCCCTTGAGAGTGACATGTGAATCAAGCTTGTTTCTAATTTTTAAAATGTAATAAACAATAATCATATTTTTTAAAAAGAAAAATAAGACTGCTTTCAATTTAAATAAAATTTTACTTTAAAATGCTCATATTTTTTGTGTTTATTGAAACATATTTTTATTTACTTTGAGTAAAACAATGAGACAATTAAGATATCAATAAACTATTGTGCTTGGAAAATATATATATAATTAATGGGATAATACTGATGCAAAAACAGACATGCATACCAATGGAACAAAATTCAAGACCCAAATATGAGTACATGTAACTACAGGCATTTAATAGTGGACAAAGATGCCAAAAATGAAAGTTTGGAAAATTAAATCATTTTCAACAAATGGTGCTGGGAAAACGATGTTCACATATGAAGAATAAAATTAGATCCAAATCTATCACTCTACACAAAAACTAACTCTAAGTGGATCAAAGATCTTAATGTGAAACCTGAAACACTGAAGCTGTCAGATGTAAACATAAGCAGTTCTTTACATGAAATAGTAAAAGACTTCCTTCCTTCCAATTATTTTGATTGCTCCTGTACATAAAACAATTTATGTCACTAGAGCAGAAGCCATGGACAACTCATATTTACAATTGTATGGGAGGACCTGCTTAGTCTTATATAGTAAGAAGCTAGTTGTCTAATTCTGCTCTCTATCAGTATCAGGAAGAAATTTTCAACCTAATCATTTATTTTCCTCTCAAGGTACTTTCAGACAGTGACCACTTTCTTAATCAAATTGTAAAGATCCTCTGGGATATAAGGGTTAAGACTTTTGGACTTCAGGATTCTTAAGATTTTATTACCAGTTATAAAATGGGCATGTACCACACCATGTGAATCCTTCAGGATCACACACCTATTTGGGAGGGAATCAGTTTTCAACTGTTCCTTCATGCCATCAGACTTCAACTTTAGCCATGTGGAAACTCTATGGTGTTATGGAAGTGCTGACCCAGACTTCACAGGAGCATGCATGCAACCATCATGACTGAGGTCTGACTAAAATGGTTATATTTTGCATAGTAATAATCAAATCAGAAAAAATGTCTTAACCATTCCAAATTAAATATCAACAAAACTGAGTGATGTCTTATAAGAATATAGGGTCCAAGACAGGGAAAACAAAGAGAAGTGAATCGAGAGATATACACAAGCCACAAATTGTTATTATACAAAAAAGCAATGCAGCCTCTCAAAATGGTAGAGAGAGTATAAAAAGCCAGAAAGGTAGACACCAGCACCAGGATATTCTGGGTGGCTCTGGACTCAGGGGAGGACCTACTGGAACCACGATAGCTACGTATGTGTTGAACACTCTGCTTGTGTCTGTACAGGAAGACAATCATGGAGGTGCAGGAACAGGTAATGAGCAAAGCATAAAAGAACTCAGGGCACATCACCAATGCTGTATAGAGTGAGTCTATGGTTTCATCACGCCCTACAATAGAGCAATATCCAAAATCTCGGTTTCTTGTCACGTTTTTGCTATTCATTTCAGTAAGTGTGTACATCACCATTATGAAATGTAGCAAGATGTAGAAGACCCACAATAGGGAAACAGAGCACTGAATGTGTTTTGTTGCTTTGGCTTTATGATCCCTCCAACATGACTTCCTGGAATTGATGGTCATTGCCTGGAAGACACTCAAAAGACAGGTGGCACCAATGGACACATTTCGAGCAAATCCTTGAATGTACAATACGAACACACATCCAAAATCATTCAAGAAATGTTTAAATCCCCAAACTACCATTGTTTCAGGCACTCCTGCAGAGAGAATGATCAAGGCATTGGCTGCCATTAGGTGCATGAGAATCAAATCTGTGGGCTTTAATATACATTCTCTAAAGTAAAGGACTAGATAAGACAACAAAAAGGAGACATTTCCAAGAATTCCAATTGTAGTTTGTGATAAGGTAATGATTCTGAATGTCACATTCCAGATGTTCATTCTGTGGTTCAACACAATTCCCTTTTGAACATGGTAACTCTATCTCTCAGGTCAAATGAATAATGACAAATGATGATAGCCTGGAGTGGACAAAGACAGTTTAATCCATGGAGCTACAGAGATGCTGAAGATGAGGGTCCCTTAAACTCAGTAGTTCAAGGCCAGACTTGAACGCATGAAAATATTTCATCCCCAAATTTTGACTTTACTTATTATCTATGTTTGTTACTGTGCAGTTTCTCAAGACTTCAGAATGCAAATGTTGATGGCAGTATATCCATTGACTTTCCTAAGAAATGCAACACTTACAATGTTGGGAGGGTGGAGCCATCTTTTGTTTAACCTGAAACTGACCCTCCTTTTTCTATCTACTCCATGAAAAATCCCTTGTGAAAGTGACAAACACTGTTCTAGATATTGGTGGTAGAATTTCCCTAGCTAACTGCAGTTTTATGGATTCTGCAACTTATTTTATTACTTTGCTTCTTCCTGCCAATTGTTAAACAAGATGCTGATTTTTCTGGATTCTTTACCATTACATGCTCCAAACAAACTGCATTTCAAGGTGCTCTGTGAGAATTGCTGCTTTCTAGACAGTCAGCAAGGCTGTTACATGCATCTGGAAATATGGACATTGGTCATGCTCTGTAGTTTTTCAGTTTTTATCACGCTACAATCTTAAATAAGAGAAAAATATTAGAAGCACAAAATACTTTACAAGGATGGCTCAAGGAGCACATTACATCATATTGAGTTATGAACTAGAACTTATGAAAAGTCATATCTCATAGACTTACACTCTCACATATGAACCCATTAAGGTTAAAGAGCTTAGAAACAAGAGAACAACGGATATGGTGAAATGCCTAGGAATGCAGATTTTAATAACATAAGCAATACATGTTAGGAGAAATCTCAAGAAAGATAACATCTTATGAATGACATCAGCTGCCGAAATGTTCAATGTCTCTACTGAAACTCTGTCTGGAATAATCAGGTATGACTCAGAAGTCTAGTGTGGGGATGACAAAAATGAAGACACTGGGTTTAACAGGCCATCAGCACAGTGAAATTAAAGGAATCTCTTACAACACAACACCCTATTCTCATGAGAAAAAGTGTCTGCAAACACTTCTAAAGTTGGGTCAGGTCCCCTTTCCTAATTACTCACCAATAGCTGTGAATCAGCACTTGGCTGATCATGTGGCAAAGGGAGATCACTGTTGCCCCTCATAGTCTTCAGCCATGTAGGAACAGCCAGCTGTCAATCAAGAGATGGGGTAAAACTGAGGATCTTAACATGATTATACAGAGTGTAGAAATGAGCTGATACATTTAGAACTACCAACTACAGGTCTACCTTCCCCATGAACTTTCATGTGGAACATCCTAGGAAATGGTTGCAGCAGTAATATAAAATACTCTATTACTTGATGCAATGCATGCCCAGAATGAATAGTACCACTGGCCTAAGTATGACATCATAGCTTCTTGTTACGAGAAATGTGTTCTTCTATGGGAGTTAGATGGACAAGTTCCCAGGAGACTTGGAAGGGGCAATAACTGAGAAAGGGATTAGGAGGGTGAAACAATACATGGGTTTTGAAAGTGAAAGAAGGAATTGTGTTCATGGGATAGTATAAGATAGGATAATTGAATAGAAATGCGGGAAGCAGAGGGGATGGGGCTATGAAAATACCTTAAGAAAACTTCTTAATTTGTAAGCTAAATAAACATAAAAAACAACCCACCCAAATAAAAATCAATCCAAAGTAAAGAAAGGCAATGTTGATAATCCAAAATTTCTGTATGCCTATAGAAAAGCCAGGAATTTCATGTCCTTCAAATATCTGTGAATGCTACTACAAACATTGGGAAAAGGAAAAAACATACAAATCAATAGTCACACTTTAATAATTTTTCCAACAATATGTTCTGTGTTTAAACATTTTGAGAAGAAACATTTCTATAATTACAACTTACTTAATGATGAAGACTGTATTTTTATAAGCTGGAGTTACATCTCTTAAATATTTGAAATAAAAATACAATTTCATCATGTTTATTTTTCATTCCAATCAAATTAAGGAAACCATATGCACCTTCCCTCTCAAATTCATAGCTTCTTAGTTCTTTATCTTTCATTGTTGTTATATGTATACAAATATATGTATATGTTTTCATTCTATTATATATGCATATATAAAAATATGTGTATTTCTGTATAAAATGGACTGAATCCCTGTAATGTTATTTGTATATCCATGATTGCCTTGTTCACAATTTTGTGCTGGTTAACCAATTGGAGCCTATTTTCTCCTACTCAAAGAAATTCCTTCATTACATGAAACTCTAACCAAAAAGGAAAACACTTCCCAACACAAAAGAAGGTGATCGTTTCAAAAAAACCCCATAATTAATAAATATGTAGAAAACAGGAAAAAACCCACGAGTGATCAAAATGTAGAAAACAACTAATTATGATCTAGCAAGTCAAGTTGTATACCTACAGTGTTATTCCTGCACTTGAGGCACCAGGAGCATTGTGAAAGAGGAGGCAGAAATATTTTAAGAGACATAGGAACTTGTATCTGTAGTGAGATTGCATCTCCTAAAATATTGGGAAAGCTATACTCATGAAGTCTCAAAATCACTGCAACACCAATACATATGCTCAAATATAAGAGGGAAATCCCAAAAGACCCAGTAACCCCACTTTTAAGAATAACCACTAGAGGTCACACTGGTGCCTGATCTGCCTTCTAACCTATGATTCCCTCTTCCCCCTATTCTACCCCCACTCCCTCAACTTCCTGTTCCCCCATGACCTACTCTCTCTTTCTCTTCTCCTCCTCTCTTCTTCCCAGCTCCCACTTCCCCCCCACCCCTCACCAGAGTGACCTCTAGTGATCTAAAGGGATAACACCAATTGGCAAGCTAAGCAATAGTGGAGAGACCACCTCGAATGCCCATTCCTGATAATGAACTTGATGTCTATAACCATCTGGGAGCCTTCATCTGGTGACTGATGGAAGCAGAGGCAAACACACAATTAAGCACTGAACTGAACCCAAGGAACCCAGTGGCAGAGAGAGAGGAGTGATGAGCAAATTGGCAAAGAATGGGCTGGCAAAACCAGCAGAGACAGCTGATCTGAACAGGAGGGAGCTCTTGGACCCCAGACTGACAGCAGGGAGGCTAACATGGGACTGATCTGGACCCCCAAATGTGAGTGTCAGTGAGGTGGCCTGGGCAACCTATGGTGCCTTGAGCAGTGGATCAGTGTCTATCCCTGGAATACAAACAGTCATCGTGTGCCCATAGCACAAAGAGGGATGCTCTCTCAGCCTGGACTCTTAGGGGACCCTACCCAGCAGTGAAATGACAGACTCTAGATATCCCCTATGTGGAAGGAATTGGCAATAGGGTAGGAGGCTGGAGGGGTAGGGGAGTGCGGGAGGAGGGGAGGGAGAGGGAACTGGGATTGACATATAAAACAAGCTATTTAAAATTAAAATAAAAAATGATTAAAAAAAACAAGAAAAAAAGAATAACCACAAAATGAGCTATGTTTTACATCATCTATTATCAATCATGGAAACATTTACCTGCAGATTACACAGACATTGCCAATATCAGGCTATGATAATTTAACTGTCAGGCACAAAATATATCTTTATGTAACAATTGCTGCCTTGGGAGATTCCATACCATCTAAGCTATGGAGCTAGTGTATGGCTGTTGTTGCCAGCAAGGTTGGCACTTGCAGAGATCACCATTTTCCAAGGACCACATAGCCACCATAAGCAATTTGAGAATTAAAGTGTGTAAAGTATGAAGGAAGTATGAGGAGATTTTGCTGTGCTGGAGGAACCCACTATATCTTAAATCATGCAGGTACAAGAGGTCTAGTTGCATTAGTATCAAACATTCATCAGAACAATGCAGATCAACATCACGTACAGGTGACTGTACAACTACAAAAGACAATGTAAAACCCAAGGCATAGTGACAGAAGTGCTACAAAGACCTTGAATATAAAGATGAGAAACTTCTCAAGATACTGGGAGCAGCATGCAGTTGAAGTTAATATGAGGCATTCAGCCGAGGACAAATAGGGATATAGTTTGCCTTTAGCTCATAAAAATTGGTAGTGGTTGCTGGAGGAGGAAAAGGAAGGAGCATATTCCAGAGTTCACTGGAGGCGGCAGTTACTGTGGAGAGGATGGGGAATTGAACCAAAAGTGATGAATGAGGTTGTATCTACTCTATCAAATGTGACCCATAGGAATTAGGAAAGTTATGATACTGAAATTGCCCAGAAATTTGAACAACAAAAGAAAAAAATACTTTTAGAAATTAATGGCCAAAGAAAACAAAGATTACAAGACATACAAAAATCGAGAAGAGTCATAATTGGACACTCAATGCAAGCAAAAGTAGCTAAGTCAACACACTCATAAAAAGCTAGTTGGATGGTGGTGGCACACGCCTTTAATCCCAGCACTCGGGAGGCAGAGGCAGGCGGATCTCTGTGAGTTTGAGGCCAGGCTGGACCGACAGCCTCCAAAACAATACAGAGAAACCCTGTCTCGTAAAACAAACAAACAAAACTAAAAAGGTAGTTGGACACAGTATTCTAAGACTTACACAACATATCAAACATGGTATGTATTCACTCATATATGGATTTTAGACATGGATCAGGATAGTGCCAGTCTGCACTTCCACTGATAGAGAGTCTGGGAAACAGGAAAGAACCTAAGAGATATGCATGGTACCCCAGAGAAGAGGAATGAGGCAAGATCTTCTGAACAGATGGGGAACACTGCGAGGAGTGGGAGTTGAGAAGAAGAGAGGGGGAGAAGAGGAAGAGAGTAGGTCATGGGGGAACAGGAATGTTGAGTGGGGAGGTAGAATAGGGAGAAGAGGGAATCATAGGTTAGAAGACAGATCAGGCACCAGTGTGACCTCTAGTGATCTAAAGGGATGACACCAACTGGCAAACTAAGTAATAGTGGAGAGACCACCTCGAATGCCCATTCCTGATAATGAACTTGTTGTCCATAACTATCCTGGAGACTGCATCCAGTGACTGATTGAAGCAAAGGCAAACACTCGCAGTGTTGAAAAATATTATCTTGGTATCCTCTGTAACCAATGGATGTCTGTGTCTGTCCATTGCCTAGCGTTACCTTTCATACTTTTGTGTTTTTTAAATTATTTTAATTTTAAATAGCTTGTTTTATACGTCAATCCCAGTTCCCTCTCCCTCCCCTCCTCCCGCACCCCTATCAGTCCCCCCAGCCTCCCACCATATATCCATTTCCTTCCACATAGGGGATATCTAGAGTCTGTCATTTCACTCAGAGCAGGGTCCAGGCACTCCCCTAAGAGTCCAGGCTGAGAGACCATCCCTCTTTGTGTTATGGACCCTGAGTATCTGGATCACAGCCATTTTACAAACCAGCATAATGGCACTTGTCACTTCTCAAAATCTGAGCCCTCTCATGAAGGCCTCCATAACCAGTATTAAGTTTAAAAAATATCTTACTGTTGCAAATATGACTAAATGATACAAAATATACCCCACATTGGTTATTTTCTTTCAATCTAGCCCTCTGAGGAGTTTATCTCATGTGTTTTCCTAACTGTGAATAATTTTGGATGATTTCAAAAAATTTTCACATAACAGTGCTTTGAAGAGAAATAACACATCCCAAAATTCATATATATTAAGTAAACTTAAAATGTGTAGTCACACACAAGAAAAATGAGCTATAATCTCTTAAATCTTACCAGTATGTCTGTACCTACAAAGAGGCAACATAGGTCTAATTTTGCTAAATTAGTAAAAATGAACTGTTGAGAAATTAACTGTATGTTTTTGCTGTATCTATTGAATTCCCAGAGTACTCTATAACTAAATTAATCTAAGATAATGGGATTGATTTTTATTAGTTCAAAAGTTAAATGTTTAACAAATACAATAAAACAACAAAAGGTACAGACAAAGAATGAAAGAGAGGACTTGCTCAAAGAGGGAATGCCTTGCTCAAGGCATTTGATGATTGAAGGAGGTATATGCAAATTAAATTTCTTTATCACAGTTTGAGAACATGATCCTCCCAAAAAACATCAAATATTTGTGTCACTGATTCTTACAGATGTTTGAGTTCACTAAAATACTCTCATGAAAAATGTTCTTTATAGTTTTGCTGCTCCATCTGCCAG